TGGTGTATGTATATTAGTATATATATATATTGTGTATAATATATAGCTATTAGTTATGCGTAGGTGTGTAGTCTTCTCGCGGTTGCCATAATGTAGGTAGTATTTAGATGGACGAACATTTCACCGTTCATTTAATTACGCGTTATTAGGATGCAAAGAATTAGCATGGTGATTGTTTTGGAACAATACAATTAAATTATCGTGGCAAAATAAAATAGTTCCGAAAAGCACAATTATGTGTATTTTATTAAGATAACTATATTATGTACTTTAAGGTATAAGGTCAACTACTTTACGATCTTCCATAGCGTTAAGTAATTAATTATGTGGTATTAACAATATGTAATACTATGAAAAATGAGTTTCTAAAACCCTGCGAGGAAGTGAGAAATTGTTCATAAACATTAAAACTAGAAATAAGTTAGTTAAAGTAAATATCATTATATAATATTTATTTAAACTAAATAATAACTGAATTCAGATAATCAGAATCTGAAAATATAAGCTCTACAAGTCTTAAACAGATATATATCAGTAATACATATGCCACATGAACAAATTAAATAATATAAAAAAAAAAATGAATTTTCTCAACTTCGATTTAGTTTATAAAATTAAAAATATTAACCCTGTATAACAATAGTCAGTTACGTTATGTTATAAAGGCTGGTGGGCCTGCCATTTTAAAAGAATGTTAAAGTTATCATTATTGTCCACCACCACAAATATTTTTAATTCATTAAAAATAATTGAATACACATCTTTTATATCTAATACTATACAACTATACAAGACTTAAATACTGCTATACAGAAGATTATTGACAATAAGTACTTATATTTTACCATGTCATAACTCATAATACATTACTATAATTATGATTGTATGAATTTATTTTTGTTTTGCAGTTGATTCTTCATTTTATAATTGTTTAAAATTAAAATGTATCAATATAATTATCAATATCCTCCTCTCAATATTATACATAACATATTCATTTAATACTTATAACTCATAAGTCTGGAAGGCTAGGATATTAAAATAGATAAACATTGTCATATTGTGTGTGTTTGTTGAAACATTCAAAAATATAAAAAAGGTAAGTAAACTTCCTTTTAAATTAATTTAGGTTCTTTATTCAATAGTTAATAAAAATGTCTAAATGATAAAGGTGGAGAGAGGAAATGCATAATAGAAATAAGATAAATGCATATCCTCTCATCCCAACGTTTTCTCAATTGCGACACTGCACATAGGCAATAGGCTATGTATATTATTGATGTTTAACAATGATGCATTAACATATGGTTCAAATCAATTTGTAAATTTTATGCAGCTATTCATTAAAAAATCACCATGCACTTAGACATTATTATTTAACAATAGTTAAAATATAATTACAAATTACAATAGTAAAATATAATAAGTAAATCTTCCAAATGAATAAATAAATATCTTTCAATTTGCTAATTTAGAATATACATATATTATATGAATAAATGCGTTATAAGTAAACATTATAAAAAAAAAAATTTTAATTTTGAACTAATTAAATTCGGTTTTGTACCTACCTATACACAAATCGCGATATTAAAATATGAAATATTTATAATTATAAATTATAAGTCTATAACAATAAGAATTATATTGTACATACATAACTTGAAGTTCCTATAATATAAATACGCGTCGACAAAAAACAAATTGAAATAATCTATGGTTCAATTATTATTAATTATTTTATTTTATTTATTATTATTGTTTTCAATGTTTTCATTCAGATTCAATAGACAGAAAATAACTTACCAACGCCTCGAGACTTATGAAAATATAATATCAAGATGACTTTTATCATGTCGAGACTTCGAGAGCACATTCAACCGCAAATACTAATTGAAATAGGTTGGTCTCTCTGTTATAAAATATATACATTATACAATATTCATATAGGTTAGGTGGTTAGAACTTAACAATAAATTGTTAACAAGAAAATGATCATGGAGGTGATTTGAACAATTTTTTATAACTACGAATGACTATATATACCTACATAGTATATATACTTACAATATATCATGTCTTAACAATAAACAGCATATACTCGACAGTATAATATAATATCATAATGTTTGAATTCTAAATAAATTACATTATTATCATTAAATATTTTTTTTTAGTTTGGACAGTGTGGAGGTATGTATATATTTGTGTATAAATAAAATAGATTTGGATGCTACAAATTCAAATGTTACAATTTTGTCTCACTCAATGAATGTATAAATCAAAATATCAACCCTTTCATTTTTTGTGAGACCTAAAAAGTACTCGGAGTAATTTTTTCTACTACTGGGCATCCCGACCAAAATGTGAAATTACATTCACTTTGACTCACCACAATATAATGGCAATCGAAAATCAAGATGTGTGAATGTCACATTATGCTCTAGCCCCAAATGACACAACCCTCTCTAATTATCAGAATTCACGAAGCTCAGTTTCAAAATACATCAATACAAATACTTATATTTAATTTAGATTTAGTTTTCTAGACAATTAAGTAATTATAGGGATCTCAGAAGTAGTCATTTTAATTAATAATAATTTTGATAATTTATTACAACAATATTACATAATACTATTTTTTTATCGTAACTCAGTTTATTTTTATAAAGGCTAAAAAAAAACTTAGTTTGTATATTTTTCTATTTGTTAATACCATATAGTACCGTACCTACGTAAAACACACTCGTTAGTCATCAATTCAGAATTTAGAAGACCTCCAATCCTACGTTTTCATTGTATTCTTGCACAAGATAAAACGGTCATGGTGCAATTGTTCATCATTGATGAACGTATAGACACTATAATATATTCAGTTGCATAATAATAATAATATCAACGATCAACAAATGGCGTACATACTAACATCGCATAACGTAAATAATGAATAAAATGTAACAGCATTTAATTGATGAAAACATAAAAGTACGACAGTAAACATATAGCCATAAAAATACGACAAGCAAATAACATAATGTAACTTTCCTAATAATTTTGTATAAAATTAATAATGACATATGTAGAGCATGCTCATTACTATGACCAAACAGGTACCTATAATCTCCCACTTGTTTAGTACTTTTTCTTATTAGTTATTACAATTTTTTTTTCTGTCAAAAGGTGTTTCTGAAGGTGAACGCAACAATTTAAAATGTATTTTTACGATGAACAGGAAATAGCCAATATTATATTCTAAAATAGCATCATTCTTGGTGACGAAATATTTTTTAAATGGTAAATATGACTCTAGAGCAATAGGTTACATGATCTTATTACAATAATTATTTGTAATACTTATAAATTGCAGGTACATATTAATGATTATTTATTATACGAAAACCACGACTTAATCCATGAAATTTATCATTAAATAATAGGTATACCAACATTTAATGTTCCAATTTTTTTTTTTGATTTGATCTAAAACGATATTAATTTTTTTACCTTGAGTGATAAGTGTTTGCGTTTTATACACCTAGTCAATTTATAAAAAAAAGACCACACACGGGAATTATAAATTACAGTTTATAGTAATATTTGAATAATAATTTAACTTATAATTTACTTGTTATAAGTTATAACTAACTACAGTGCCTAAGCTTGCGTAAGGTACACAATACACAATACACATACACACACACAAAATTATGTTGTTCAGAGCGTAAACATATTTAGTCAATTAATTGCATTTTATTTGATTAAAAAAAAAAAAGTAGTCACGCGCAAAAGAAATAATATATCACATCGGATAGACACAGCCAAAATGAATTTTCATACTTTAACTGTTGGACCGCGTTGAACTAATAATTAATAAGTAATAACAAAACGAAAAAAAGCGAACAAACCAAAATATAAAATATGATGAAGACACAACATAATAGGTATCGACGTGTCGTGTTACAACGACGAACAATTATTTACATATCGTGTGACTAAAGTGTACTACATGCAGTCGTGTACACTGTACAGCACATTATTTGTGTAATATATATGCTCAGACCACTCGAGTTTTCAAGATGATCGATAAATTCGTCAACTCTGTCATCTCGTTTTTATTTTAAGTATAGTAATTTACGGGTACCTATACTTCCCCTGAATAATATTTGATACCTACAGGTATAGCACTATAGCAGTATAGGTAGGTATTGTGTGCATAAGTGTAATATCATAGCTTGAATATATATTTGTTTGTAAACACACATGACGTGTCGCAATAGATGTAGGTACATATATATATATATGCCGTAATCGAAATCACATTTTAGGACGGTAAATAAACGAACATACAAAGATTAAGTTAATCTTACCCAGCAGACAACCGTTATATTGTGGAGCATCGAGAGGATATTATAACGATATCATAATATGTGTATTTTACATTCAAATATTAAAAAGTAATAATTTGCGACCAAACTAATCATCTTAGCTACCTAGGTTATAGTAATATATCATATATTGTTTGTAAATCTAATCTTACGAGGACGTATTACGGATCTATATAGATGTATTATATTGTAATTAGATGATTAGTTTATACGGCAGCGTACGAATTAAATACGTGACGTTTATATCGTAAAAATCAGTGGAGTGTCTAAAGCTTGACAAAATGGGGGGGGGGAGATTAAAATGTCTTAAGCTCTTTCAGTCTTGATACGGAGGTCTCTGTCTCTCAATGAGGACCTCATTATTAATACCTAACAATCATTTTTTCTTTTAGCAATGATATCGAATTTGTAGATGCTCATTTTACTATTTTGTATTGTTAGGTACAATAATATGTTAAAAACTAGAGCCCACACCATAAACTATTAGGATCGCCTCTGGTAAAAATACAAGACGTATGATAAAGCTCATTAAATATGCCAATGCAGGTGCAAAAATGAAATATAATCATTATAAAACAACATATTAGGTATATTATATTCATAGGTACCACCTACCATCAAACTGTTCAGAGTGACTCCGCTTCTGACTTTGAGATACTTTTTCCGCAACACTCGCCAGACGACATAGGCCATCGCAACGATCCATATAATATAATAATAATAATAATAATAATATGATCACAGCGTAAATGTACGGCGGAAAAGGCGAAACGACCAGCCAGCGCCCGATCACATTTCGGCGGCGTTTTTTATATTATTATTATTATTAATAAAGTTTGTCGCGATTCGTTCACGCACTGTACGCACTGTATTACGCCTATTATTATATTCTTTCAACGGTATTTCAAAACTTATTATAACGTCATCGAGTCTCACTAAAAAAAAAAACCAATAAATCGACACGCGAACCGGAGGGAACAACGACTTTAGAGCAGCGGACGAACGGAGCACCGATTTAGGAGACAACGATATTATCGCGCGCACTTTTTTTTTTTTGATAACGTCAAGAACCGGCTCGAACGTGGTTGTAGGTATAATATTTTTGGTTCATCGCGAAACGAAAACACGTAACGTACCTGACCTGACCGACGACCGACGATACCTGTGCGCGCGCGACGAGCGTTTAACAGACGGACGACGGCGTCCGACTCGACATATGAGTGTAATGCGTGTGTGGTTGCGGTTCGTGGTCGGCGCGGATCACGTGCTCCCACGGCGCGGCGGGTTTTGGCGGGGGCGGTGGCCGTGCGGGGGGAAAACAATAATCGTCGTCGGCGGCGGCGGCGGCGGCGGCGGGCGGACGGACGGACGGCCGTCCCAAATAATGTTATTTACGAAAACGCATTAATAATAATAATAATAATAATAAAGTATAAATTAATATTGTATTATGCAAAAAAAAAAAATTAGTAAAATACGTATCGAATTATCGCCCTGTGAGCGCAGCCGTACACATGGCACATCCGATAAAACAATGGATTAATGCGATAATTATTATTCTGTTGTTATTATTATTATTATTATTATGATTGTTGTTATATTATATACACGACGCATTGTCGTTGAAATCTATATAGGTTCACATTGTAAGCAGTATAATATTATACTATTACATATTTTACGCGATTCGCTCGAAAAATAATGGTAATATCATATGTATGAGTCGTCTTTTTTTTATGCGTTTTAGGCGATAATATAATATATACCAGGGGTGGCCAAACCGCGGCTCGCGAGCCGCATGCGGCTCGCGTCATAGACTTTTGCGGCTCGCATCTTATCGTAACCTTTTTACAAAAAATTTGAAAACATGAATTTATGTATTTGAAAAAGTATAATATTTTATTAAATTACAGTGTATAGAAAAAAATTTGTAAAAATAAAGTGTTCTTGATATAATTTTTCTTCATAGACTATTTTCTTATTTGTTGTGTGTTTATTTTGCATGTAAGCTTTTTAAAATCAGGACTATATGTTGTTAACGCAGTCCTTAACAATTCAGTTAAATGATCATCCGTTAATGTTGATCGATGTTTAGATTTAATCATTTTCATGGTTGAGTATAGAGACTCACAAGAATATGTTGTTCCAAAAATCGATATTAACTTTTGAGCGCAAAGAGTAATTTTTGGATATTTAATAACAGGCACATGTTTCCAAAATTCCAACAAAGAATGACAACTGTATTTGAACTGCTTCAGTCCTTCATCTTCTAATAATTCTAAGAGTTCAATTTCTAAAGCTGCCGTATCCATTGAAATCGATTTTAATATTGGACATCCATTTTCAATAACATTAATGACAAAGGGATTTTCTAAAAATGCAATCGAAGGTTTAAGTAATTTCAAGTCTTTAAATCGATCTTCAAAGTGAGTTGATAAACACTCTAATTTTTGTACATAATCTTCACAATTCAATTTTATTGCTATTCCAACCAAATAATCCTCAATTTTTTTTAAGTACGGAAAATGGTTTAAATTATTTATTCTTAAGTCTCTTTGAAAAAGTTTAAGCTTATTTTGGAAACTAAAAATGTCTTGTACTAGATTATTTATGAATTTATTTTTACCTTGAAGAGACATATTTAATTAATGTGGCTAAGTGATGCACAACGTCAGTACAAAATGACATATCTCTTAACCATTGTGGGTCTGAAAGTTGTGGAAAGTTTTTATCTTTTTCTTTTAAAAATGTTTTAATAGGTTCTAATAAAGACATAATAATTATTTTATTAATGTTGTGTTGTTACACTTACACACACGACGTCAAAAAGCACTATGAAGACATAATATCCATTATCCATGTGTGTCTATGTCTGTATGATATTTTTATATTTATGGTATTTATGAAGATAAAATTTAATTTGAGATTATCGTACAATTATTGTTATCGTATTCTTCACATTTTATTAAATACGATACCTTATCTTATTTTATTTACAATATCACATATATATAAAAATTATATAGTAATATGACCTTTTTTTTTTACATTTTGGCTCTTTCATATTTATTAATATATTTGGTGGCTCACGAGTCTCTTCTCGCTGGCCACCCCTGATATATACTATTATAAATATGTGTACGCCTTGCTTGACGCCTTGTATACAGTTGTTTATTGTTTTCGGAACGGTGCGTCCGAAATACGTCGTCGACCACGACAAAACTATGTCACAATAACAATAAATTGGATCAATTTGACGCATAAATTAAAGGGGGTGGGGAATTATAAATATAATGACAGACCTCAGAAACGCTGAATGGAAGGTTAACATTTTACTGCAACTGTCCATTTTAACAGTGAAACTATACCTATACATATAGGCTATACAATATATATCATACTATCATAGTGACGAGTGGTGTAAAATGATTACGTGAGTATTTTTTTTCAGAGAATATTGTCCAAAACAGAAAATAAACAAATGTAAAATAAGCGATCAAATTTTTAAGAAATATAATATAAGACTACTAATAAGTAATAATGGTATATTGTCATATTGATAATCGAGTATCGACACACTAATCAGTTTAATCACTATAATATTATTAACAGTATTCCTAATAATTATGTTAAATGTTCTATATTTTTCGAGAATTATTGTTACACAATGTTTAGATAAAAAAGTTTCAAATTAGAAGTTGTTAGTGCATTGTACATTACCTATCTTTAGACTTTACTATATTATTTAATATCGAAAATAACATGAAGTTAAACTTTTATATTATTTATAATTATAGCATTACTCATTACCTCGTCATTACTAATTAATCACATTATTTTATGATTAAAAATTAGTAATAAAACCTAAAACCCGGTTTTTCGTTACAAAATGCTTAGTCTTAAAAATTTCCGATTAATTCTCATCACAAGTTCTAAAATTAAATGTATAAAATTAAATACTTAAAATAATAAATTATTATACAGAACAGAAAAATGAAGCAAAAATTAGCTTACTTTAAAGGGGAGACACAATATTCACTGCTCACATCACTGATAAGGTACCTACATATATGGGTACATAATATTATTTATACCTAGGTATATGCACTTTTTTAAAAGCCCTACATTTTTATAAAATAGCCTATAGCCTATATTATGTAAGTTGTAGAATTATATAGAATTTAGATACACCTATTATAGGTAATTTGTGTAGTTAAGTATGCATAGTTACATAATTTTTTCACTTGTCGGTTCAACATCTGACGAATGGAAAATGAAAACAACTTGACTTAAAAATGTTATCTATGTAAGAAGGCACCTACATGGAATTATCTAAACAAAATATAATAATTGTATAGGTAACACATTACATTGATAATATCATTATTTTCGAAGACAGCAGAGTGAGCCGGAAGGTCTAATCTAATACCCACCTATTACTTATTATTCACCCATATAATAATATATATTTTATCTTTATTCTTTAATGTGTTGGAAATCTAGATTATAAAAATGTTATAATAAGAGGTTTTTCCCAGTCACCCAGTATAGACACAGATAAAGCGTAGAACGTTGAATGCATTTGATGATCTATCTGCTGCTTGTAGTTAGTACGTAAACTATAGCCTATAGGAAACAAAAAAATATTTAGTACATAATTTGTGGTTTTTCGGGATGACTCACTAAGATTGTTAGCCACTCATTTTTTTAGTTATCTCGAAAATTAATCAGATACCAATATTTATTATTTAGGTCTTAGTAGGGATTCATTTAACTTTTTAAAAACATGACGTGAACAATTATAGTCGATAACAATTATTTTAAAATGGTACTAAAGTAATTAATTATTATAATTATTATCGGTTACGATTAACAAATTATATTATTATATTATACATACAATATATGATGTGATACACTATACCATAATCTTATAACAATACCCAATCACTTAATCAGTACCATTATTATATTAATACATTATAATTGGTATGTCATATGTATAGTATGTAACAGTAAGTAGTAACACAATACTGTAGTTATACCTCCATATTTTTTAAACAGAAATTTAGATTACATAATTAATAAAAAATAAGAATATTGAGTATAAAGACGTAGGTACTTTAGTATACATATATGTATACCTAAACTATAAATGGTATAATCAGAGGCGGATTAGCTAAAAAATTCGGCACGGGAAATTACCGTGTGACAGGCCCACCCAATATATTATAATAATTAATAGTAATCATTTCATTTTCCATAAAAAAACTTTTTTTTTCTTAGGAATTCTCTTATTTATAATTCAATGTAATATACTTATAACATGTGAGTAGGTAGATACTCAACATTTTTATTTCATTAAAACTTTTTTTATAAAATTAAATAACAAACACTTACAGAAATTGTATATACTCGAAGTTTTTAACCTTAAGTTCAGCGTCTGTAAAAAGTGAGCTTAACACACGAAAAAAAAGGTGGCCAGGTGTACATCAGGTGTCATGTGGGTCACTGTAATAATATATCAATAGGATGTGTTGAATTGGAATTGAATAATATTTTATCATTGCATACGAAAAATGATTTTGAACGAAGAAGGTCTATCAGCCTATATAAAAATTATAAAAATAATATTTTATATTATTGCTATTTCCATTGATTTTAGAATTTACAAAATTGAAGTCGCAAAATCGTCTTATAATCTTTAAATACCAACTCTCATCTATACATTATTCTAAAATCAATATTATTACCTAAATTAATTCATTATACTATTATAGTGTTACGATAATATATATCAGGTAGGTTGCATTATTTTTGCGTTTAAAAATATATTTGTGTGTATAAAATATGATAATATATATTATTTTTAAACTTCCAAGTATCCGCGGATTAACATTTTTAAATTACAGCAATATAGCTATTCTTCGTTTAAATATCTAAGTTTAGTTTCCAGCTATTCACTAATGCAGCATCGAATCATTAATATTGAACACTTTATTAATATGTGAATACCTAACCGATACTTAAAGGACAAATAGTTATCCAACTATCCAAGACTATTAACTGTACATAAAACCTATTATATTTCAAACTATGTTATAATTATGTTTGTAAATTGTAGTTACCTGCACAACGTATTAACGTCCAACGGGCCCAGAATTGTCTAAATAAAATAAAATATTTTTTTTCTGTGAGACTCTTTGTACGACGAGTATAGGTACCTACCATACCGTTAACCGACCACTTTCTCGTCAAATCGCAAGTTATCTGCATCTGCGTTACAATATTGTGCATTATTGATTGAAGTGCTCGAAGAATATAACTATTTATTATTATATAGGTAGCCAGGCAGGTGCAGACTACAGTTGTACAGTTCTAATACCATACATACAAAAATAAGAAATAATAGGTTTGTCGTGTAAAAATAATGATGATAATATATTATAAGTAGGTAGTAGGTGCCTAACTAAGATTATAATATACAGTAGGTATTATAATTGCTTAATTCGTTTCGTATAGGCACCGTGGTATTCACCGTCTGGATAGTATAGTGTGGTATCTTCTAGGTATATTGTCTATATACCTATAATATCTCATAATTATTTTTAAATTATTAATATTTTTTGTCAGTCTATACGACATTGCATGTGACCTTCTATTACAGATTATTATATTATTATGAGTATAGCTGAGTTTATTTGATTTTTTTTTAAACAATATTTCAAAATAACAATGTGAAGAATACCTGTAATGAATGTAAACAAAAATTAATTAATTTTCCATATTCTCCATACCTAACCTATCTACTATATGACCGATTTATATTTTGTATGCGCTATTGTGTTTACTTAAGAATATTAGTTACCAGCTACGTTGGCCATGAAAAATGAACGAATGGCTTAGGGTAACTCATTACATATTTTTTACTTCTGAGGAATTTACAGTATACAATGTAACAGCTCAAACCCGGAAGTTCATGAACAAACTTTAAAAAACCGATACAGTACCTACATATAGCTGATATACGTTACCTATGCTATGAACATTTGTTGCATGAATCATACTAAATAAACAACAAGTGGATACCCACCTATATTACTGTGAAACTTCCACATTACGATAAGTCTCGACGCCCAGCGGACAACAAAAAAATTCGATAAACACAATTAAATCAATTTAGACGTAACTTGGACTTTGGTTAAGGTTCCCAAAACAGAAAATGTTATGAAATGGAAGTTTCTCTGTAGGTATTATAATTTAATATGTATATTAATTTATTATTTTATAATAGGTGGGTACCTAAATGAATATAGACAACATAGTATGACCAAATATTATGCGTTATACGATTTTATTATAATAAGTATAAGTATAATAACCAATACAATAATAATATTCCGTGTCCCCCTATATTCTATCTTATTGAAAATAACCTAATAAATCATTATTAATAGTTAATTTTTGTTTTAATCACTCGTATTTTTCTCTGATTTAGATTGTAATCGATACAGATGATAGCACGATACCATATAAGAATAAGAAAATGTGATAATATTTACAGCGCGAGTTACGTATTGAAGTATCGTTCAAATGTCGTCTGAGTTTTGTGAGCGATGACTGACTTTGTCGCAAAACATGATAATAATAATGTGTTCCGGACAACTGGTCAATAAATTTAAAACATAAGAAGAAAATATTTCCCTCATTTTTAAAATAATACAAGTACAAAAAAAAGAGCAGAATTTTCAAATTTAATATTTGTGATAATTGCA